TCTGAATTGTTCTAGTTCTAGAATCATAGAATCAAAGAGTTGGAAGAGACCTCCTGGGCCATCATCCAGTCCCACCTCATTCTGCCAAGAAGCAGGAATATTGCATTCAAATCACCCCCGACAGATGGCCATCCAGCCTCTGTTTCAAAGCTTCCAAAGAAGGAGCCTCCACCACACTCCGGGGCAGAGAGTTCCACTGCTGAACAGCTCTCAAGGAAAATAATGGCATTTTCTCTCTGGACAGAGATAAAGGTTTCAAAACACAAGTCAGTTCAAGTTTGTTTTAATAGTTGTTTCCAAAATGATTTGCTTTTTCGTCTCTGTAATCAAAAGTTTGCTAGGAGAAGAAATATAATGTTCCTCCAAAAGATAAATCCTGTTACTTGTATAAATATTTTAAAAAGTTATCTTGCAGAAAGCTGCTTGTTCAGTGTTATCTCGCTTGATGGAGTCTTGATCAGACCCACTTGCCCACACTGCGGCTTCGATTCTGGAGCCTTCTCAGATATCCGAGAAGGGGCTTTAGACACAAATCATTCCCTCTACCAAGGAAACACTCCTCACTTGGGCGTTATCACAACCTGCCCTCTCCTTTGTTCCTCCACATCACTAGGAAAGCTTCACGCTGCCATTTTAGCAGCCCAGAAACCCCACACCTTTGTTGTCTTCTGTGTGTGCCCTTATTTATTTACTATATTCTTACCCCAAAGGGGATTCAGGGCAGCTTACAAACTACAGCAAAAATTCAATGCTGCATCGTGCACATAACAATGAAGATACCATATACAATTATAAAACAACTAGAGTTTGGGTTACATTAGTGTTTCCCAAAGTTTGGGCTTCCAGCTGTGTTGGACTGCAGCTCTCAGAAGCCCTGACCAACATTGCCAATAGCCAAGAATTCTGGGAGCTGAAGTTCAAAAATACCTGGAAGACCAGAATTTGGGAAACACTGGAAGGTCAGGGAAATCAGGCCTGGGCAAACTTAGGCCCTCCAGGTGCCTAAGGTCCCCTCATCACAACAAGGTGACAATCCATCGAGGGGGTGCATTTGACATTGCCCTATGCAAGACAACCAGACCATCTATATCAGTTAACTGTTGACTCTTGAGTGCCCCAAACCCTCTCACACGTTTATAGAATCACTAGCCGTCCCCTGCCATGCGTTGCTGTGGCCCAGTCTGGTGATCTGGAAAATAAAGTAATGGTTTCTAAGATATGTAATTCCTTTATGCTTATGGGTAAACAGTATTCCTTGTTGTTTCTATGTCAGTGTTGATGTGGAGAGTGTCTGGTTTACCTACTCTGAAACATGCAACATATAATTGTCAAGACCCAGAGCAGTCAGCAACACACACGGCACCGATGGAGTTAAAGTAGGTGTTTAATGTCCATTAACAAAACAAAAGGAGACTCTTCAGTTCAGAGATAAACAAAGGAGGCTTGCAGTCAGCAGAAATGTAAACAAACTGGTCTCAGTCAGCCACGGCTGACAAAAGGAAAGTCAGTTCAAAACAGAATCAGGCAGCTTAACTTCAGCAGGGAATCTTTAGTCCGAATTGAAGACAAACAGAACAGCAAGCAACAGTTTGCATGAAGAGCGGTCCAACGAATATTCCAGGATAAAGCAGAGGCGTAGTCAGGCAATCCGAAGGTCAAAACAGGGAAGACTCACGAGTCTGGAACCAGCAGGGTTGTTCACACGATCAGGAGACACGAAGCTGTAACAAGAACTCAGGGCAGGAGTTACACACAAGGCACACGGCAAGCGACACCTTGAACTCTGCGATTAGACTGTCCCCAAGCTGCTGCTTAAATCTCATCCGAGTCGCTGGAACTGCCATCAGCTGGGTCCAATTCCTCAGGTGAATCCACACCACGCCATTGCTGCCAGTCAGCACTTCGAGTTCCATCCTGCAAAGAGTTATCTCCAACCCAGTTATTATCAAAACCCTGGAATTCATCACTAGACGTGGGAGCGTTAATTACATCCATTACTTCCTGGACTTTAGTCCAGTCCAGCTCTTCCTCTTCGCTGTCAAACTCCCCACAGTCTGCAACATCTCTCAAGCGTTTAGCAACAGATCCCACATCACTGTTTGAGCTGCTGGCTACTCTTTTTACACCTCTGTAATCTTCCAGCTCCATTTCCTCGCGAGTAAAACCCACAAAATCCTCCTCATCTGTCGTCTCTAGAAACAAGTCTCTTATCCTTTTCAGCTGCTGCTGAGCTTCATCATTCTCTAACCTACGTTTCCTTCTACTACTAGTAGTAGGTGCATGAGACAGATGCTGAGTCTCAACAATAATTGTCCTTCTTGGGGTCCCTTTCAAATCTATGATATTATATCTGTGTGTATGTGAATCATATATATCTATCTATATCTATGGCTGGATGGCTTTGTCAGGAGGGCTTTGATTACGTTTTCTTGCCCTGGTGAAGGGAGTTGGACTGGATGGCCTTAAGTATTTTCTGTTGGTCATGGGGGTTCTGTGTGGGAAGTTTGACCCAATTCTGTCATTGGTGGGGTTCAGAATGCTCTTTGATTGTAGGTGAACTATAAATCCCAGTAACTACAACTCCCAAATGTCAAGGTCTTTTCCCCCAAACTCCATCTGTGTTCAATATTTGGGCATATGGAATATTCATGCCAAGTCTGGTCCAGATCCATCATTGAGTCCAAAGTGCTCTCTGGATGGAGGTGACCTACAACTCCCAAACTCAAGATCAATGCCCACCAAACCCTTCTAATGTTTTCTGTTTGTCATGGGAGTTCTGTGTGCCAAGTTTGGTTCAATTCCATCGTTGGTGGAGTTCAAAATGCTCTTTGATATTAGGTGAACTATAAATCCCAGCAACTACAACTCCCAAATGACAAAATCAATGTTTTGGAGTGAAGGACATACATTGGGTTGTTAGGTATCTTGTGTCCAAATTTGGTGTCAATTCGTCCAGTGGTTTTTGAGTTCTGTCAATCCCACAAACGAACATTAAATTTTTATTTATATAGATTAAAACAGTAATACAGATTAAAAGCCTACAAGTGCCTCGTTGTGCTTTCCAAACTTCATAGTTTTCCCATAGTTGTTATACAGACTCCTAGGTTAGAATGATATAGTAACTAAAGCCCTCCCTCCCTAACCCTCCCTAGCAAACAGTGCAATTGATTATAGGAATACGGTGCAATCGAACATAGGAACATGGAACAAAGGATTATGAGAATGGTTTCTGATTTGGTGTTGAGGCGTTATGATAATGATTGTTTATTGATATTGATTGTTATGTATAATGTGTTTTAATTGCCTATGATACTGTCTTGTGATAATTTGTACTATGTAAACCGCTTTGAGTCGCCTAAGGGCTTATTTATTTATTTGTCGTGTCAGAACAACCAGTCAAATTATATTACATTTCTAACAGAACAAAGCAAACAAGCAGATTACAAAATTTGTGAGTATGAGAGTTGATTAAATGTCCTTTGACCAGTATCTGGCCACTTGGAGTGCCTCTGGTGTTGCTGCAAGAAGGTCCTCCATTGTGCATGTGGCAGGGCTCAGGTTGCATTGCAGCAGGTGGTCAGTAGTTTGCTCCTCTCCACACTCGCATGTCGAGGATTCCACTTTGTAGCCCCATTTCTGAAGGTTGGCTCTGCATCTCGTGGTGCCAGAGCGCAGTCTGTTCAGTGCCTTCCAAGTCGCCCAGTCCTCTGTGTGCCCAGGGGGGAGTCTCTCATTTGGTATCAGCCATTGATTGAGGTTCTGGGTTTGAGCCTGCCACTTTTGGACTCTCGCTTGCTGAGGTGTTCCAGCGAGTGTCTCTGTAGATCTTAGAAAACTATTTCTAGATTTAAGTCGTTGACGTGCTGGCTGATACCCAAACAGGGAATGAGCTGGAGATGTCTCTGCCTTGGTCCTTTCACTATTGGCTGCTACTTCCCGGCGGATGTCAGGTGGTGCAATACCGGCTAAGCAGTGTAATTTCTCCAGTGGTGTAGGGCGCAGACACCCCGTGATAATGCGGCATGTCTCATTAAGAGCCACATCCACTGTTTTAGTGTGGTGAGATGTGTTCCACACTGGGCATGCATACTCAGCAGCAGAATAGCACAGCGCAAGGGCAGATGTCTTCACTGTCTGGTTGTGATCCCCAGGTTGTGCCAGTCAGCTTTCGTATGATATTGTTTCTAGCACCCACTTTTTGCTTGATGTTCAGGCAGTGCTTCTTGTCGGTAAGAGCACGGTCCAGAGTGACTCCCAGGTATTTGGGTGCGCTGCAATGCTCCAGTGGGATTCCTTCCCAGGTGATCCTCAGAGCTCGGGATGCTTGTCTGTTCTTGAGAAGAAAGGCACATGTCTGTGTTTTAGATGGGTTGGGGATCAGCTGGTTTTCCCTGTAATAGGCAGTAAGAGCACCTAGAGCTTGGAAAGCTTCTGTTCTACCATCTCAAAGCTCCCTGCTTGAGCAGTAATGGCACGATCATCAGCATAGATGAAACTCTCTGTCCCTTCTGGCAGTGGCTGGTCATTTGTGTAGATGTTGAACATGGATGGAGCAAGCACGCTCCCCTGAGGCAGGCCGTTCTTCTGTTTCCGTCATCTGCTTCTCTGACCCTGGAACTCAACAAAAAAGCTCCTGTTTTGTAGCAGGTTTCCTATGAGGCGGGTGAGATGGTCGTCCTTTGTGATATTATACATTTTCCTCAGGAGGAGGCGGCGGTGGTTCACAGTATCATAGGCTGCTGACAGGTTTATGAAGACAGCTCCTGTGATCTGCTGCCTTTCAAAGCCATCTTCTATGTGCTCCTAAGGGCTGAGAAAAGCGGTATAGAAATAAAGTAAATAATAAATAAATAAATAAATAGCAAGCAGTTACCCAATTCCCTCCCTCCCTCCTTGACACAACCTAAATTTCTGATAAAGTATGGACTTATGGGTTGTTATCATGAGGTAAGGTGGTCCAAAGTGCTATAGCAAAGATACAATGAACAGAACCCAATCAGAAGAGCTTGCTGGAGATGTTCCGGCCTCTTCTATAGCAGCCTCAGTAGCAGACTCCTCTAGTCCTGCCTCAGTTTTTATAGCTGCACCCTCCTGGAGTTGGAAATGGAAATGGGGTTGCAGTCTTCCTCATGAGAAGCCCCAAAGCCAGGGGCAGGAGAGCTTGCTGGAGAAGTTTCGGTCTCTTCTATAGCAGCCTCAGCAGCTCCTTGAGATCCTTCACATCTGCATTTCTTGCTATTCCCATTTTCAACATGACCCATGAAGGGAAAAGGGGGAGAATTGAAGGTTTCTGGCTTCCATCCCTTATCTTTTATTTCTTCTTTCTTCACCAGGGAAAGGAGCATTCTACGGATCCACATTTGTCAAGATGAGAAACCATTCAACATCTAGTGGAGATTGAAGAATCTGGAATTCAGTAAACAAACCAGTCATATAGGAAGAAGAAATGCTCCGAAGGTGCCGAACTGGCTGAACTCTTCAGGTCACTCACACTTCAGGAAAGCAAAGTGTCTATCTTGCATTTTAAAGTACCAACATGGAGAAAAAAACATATCAATGTATTGAATTTGGAAATATCTTTAGGCAGCAGAAACTTCTGCAGTTACATGAAAGAACTCACACTGCTGAGAAACCCTACACATGCCTGGAGTGTGGGAAGAGCTTCACGCAGCGTGGACATCTACGTAAACATCAAAGAACTCACACTGGGGAGAAACCCTATGAATGCCAGGAGTGTGGAAAAAGCTTTGCTCTGAATGAAAAACTACGTTCACATCAAAGAACTCATACTGGGGAGAAGCCCTATACATGCCTGGAATGTGGCAAGAGCTTCACTCACAGTGAAGGTCTACGTTCACATGAAAGAACCCACACTGGGGAGAAACCCTATAAATGCCCGGAGTGTGGAAAGAGATTCACTCAGAGTGGAAATTTACAGGCACATCAAAGGATTCACACTGGGGAGAAACCCTATGAATGTCCAGAGTGTGGAAAAATATTCTCTCAGAATGGAACTTTGCAGACACACCGAAGGATTCACACTGGGGAGAAACCCTATACATGTCTGGAATGTGGGAACAGCTTCACTGGCAGTGGAGATCTACGTAAGCATGAAAGAACTCACACTGGGGTGAAACCCTATACATGCCAGGAGTGTGGAAAGAATTTTGCAAATATTGGAAAACTACATTTACATCAAAGAACTCACACTGGGGAGAAACCCTTTCAATGCCAGGAGTGTGGAAAGAGCTTCGCTCACAGTGAAAGTCTACATAAGCATTACAGAACTCACACTGGGGAGAAACCCTATAAGTGCCTGGAGTGTGGAAGGAGTTTCACTCATAGTGGAGATCTACGTTCACATCAGAGAATCCACACTGGAGAGAAACCCTATACATGCCCAGAATGTGGAAAGAGCTTCACTCACAGTACAAATCTACGTACGCATCTAAGAGTTCACACTGGGGAGAAACCCTTTCAATGCCTGGAGTGTGGAAAGAGCTTTGCTGTCCATGGAAGTCTACGTAGCCATCACAGAACCCACACAGGGGAGAAACCCTATGAATGTTCAGAGTGTGGAAGGAGTTTTGCTCAGAGTGGAACTTTACAGAAACATCAAAGTGTTCACACTGGGGAGAAACCCTATACATGTCTTGAATTTGGAAACAGCTTTGCTGGCATTGGAGATCTACATTCACATCAAAGAACTCCCACTGGGGAGAAACCCTATAAATACCAGGAGTGTGGACAAAATTTTGTGCATATTGGATCTCTACATTCACACCAAAGAACTCACATTGGGGAGAAACCCTAAGTCTCCAAGTTACTAACAAGATAGGTTCTGTCGGTTTGTTTTCAAGTAGAATTTTTAGTGTAACTCCATCCAAATGTTATGTATATACATAGATAGTAGGCCTGGGCGGTTTCGTTCGTTAATTTTGTAATTCGTTAAATATTCGTTATTTTTAACAATTACAAAACGATTACAAAACATATTTTCAAACCCGGAAGTGTTTTTAAATATCGAAACGGCATCCTCCATCTTTTTTACAGGCTTCCGCCCGTTTCGGAAATGACGTTTTAGGGATGGAGGATGCTGGGTGCGCCGGGAGCCAATCCGGCGCTCCCAAGCACCGTGGCTCATTGTGATTGGGCGGGCTGCCCTTTAAAAGCGGCTCCGCGTGGCCGCATTGCTCATTGCGAAGGAGACGGGAGGTGCGGGAGGGAGGCTTGGTTGGCTCTTGGCTGCTTTCTTGCATTCATTCATTCATTCATTCATTCATTGCTTGCTTGCATTCATTCATTCATTGCTTGTGCTTGCATTCATTCATTCATTCATTGCTTGTGCTTGCATTCATTCATTCATTCATTCATTCATTGCTTGTGCTTGCATTCATTCATTCATTCATTCATTCATTGCTTGCTTGCATTCATTCATTCATTGCTTGTGCTTGCATTCATTCATTCATTCATTCATTCATTGCTTGTGCTTGCATTCATTCATTCATTCATTCATTGCTTGTGCTTGCATTCATTCATTCATTCATTGCTGGGAGCAGCGGGGAGGCTTTGCCCTGTTTTCGCCCCACAACAGGGTAGGGCAAGCATTTTGTTAATTTTCCATTTTTAAATATTTCTGAAAAATATCTTTCTTTTATTCTTCAAAAAATTCAAAAAATATTCTAAAAAAAGAAAAGACCCTTGTGTGCCTGTGTGTGTGAGTTTGTCCCTGTCCTGTGGCTGTGTTCGCTCCACAACAGGGCAAGCATTGTTAATTTTCCATTTTTAAATATTTCAAAAAATATTTATAAATAAATATTTCAAAAAAATTCAAAAAATATTCTAAAAACGAAATTAACGAAATTAACGAAATTTCGTAAATACTGAACTTTTTCAAAGGAAAAATTTGTAATTATTTTAAATATCGAAACGCAACCCCCCCCCCCCCAAATACAAATCAATTTTAGAAACAAATTTTTGCGTTGTTACCCAGGCCTAATAGATAGACAAATACATACATTATGCATAGCATACAGAATGATTAACACTCTTTTGGTTTTTGTTTTGCTATCTGTGTCCCCCTTCAGAATATTTCACCTCACTTTATGTCCCTGTGATAACTGGATTTTGAAAAACATGGCTTGTTGTGGAAACAAGGATTGAGGATTAAACTTCAGTGCAGACTTCTTTTTCTTATTTATTTATTTATTTACTATATTTATATACTGCCCCTCTCAGCCCAGAGGCGACTTGGAGCTGTTTCCTTATGATAACCCTTTCATTTGTTGACGTTTCTGGGGTTCTGGCAAGCCTTAAATAGTTTTGCTTATATATGTCTTTTATATATCTTCTTTTGTATCAGACTTATTTGCATAATAAAACCCTTAAAAAAAGAAGAAGACGTGAAACCCAGAAGTTTTTAAGGTCTCTTCTCAAACGTAACAAGCTTTCTATGCCAGATTTTTAATGAAACCATCAAGCATTTGTACGTGAAATATTCAAGTCTGTTCAAATAAAAGTTCTTGTTATTTTTATCAACTTACATCAGCCTCAGAGTGAATACCTTTGTGGACAAAGTGTTATTCCAGTCATTTTTTAACAGCCTGTAAGAAACCTATAGTAACACAGGGTGCGTTACTGAATAACCTCAGCCTGTTTATTAGTAACTAGCTGTGTCCTGCCATGCGTTGCTGTGGCCTATAGTAAGAATTTTCGAAGTAGAGGTAGATATCTGAACTATTATGAAAGAGAGGTACGTACCTATTCCTTCCCCCTTTTTCTTCCCCTTCCCCTTTCTCTCCTTTCTTCCTTCTCTACCTCTTTCTTTCATTCCTTCTTTTGCTCTTTGGTTTCATCCTTCCTTCTCTCTTTCCTTCCTTCCCTCCATCTTTCTCTACTTCTTCCTTTGTCTCCTTTCTTCCCTCCCTGTTTCCTTCCTTCTTTCACTTCTTATTTCCTTTTCTTCTTCCTTCCTCTTTCCTGCATTTGCTGGGGGACTTCAATGTCCACGCCGAGACCGCCTTATCGGGAGCGGCTCAGGACTTCATGTCTGCCATGGCAACCATGGGGCTGTCCCAACAGGTATCTGGCCCCACCCACAGTGCTGGACACACATTAGATCTGGTTTTCTGCCAGGGATGGGAGCAAGGTGGCAGTGTTGAGGAGTTGTCCACCTCTCCATTGCCATGGACCGACCACTATCTGGTCAGATTTAGACTCACTGCACCTCCTAACCTCTGCAGAGGTGGGGGACCCATTAAGTTGGTCCGCCCCAGGAGGCTTATGGATCCGAACGGATTCCTGACGTCTCTTGGGGATTTTCCCGCCACCTCGGTTGGTGATCCTGTTGATGCCCTGGTGTCTCTCTGGAATGGGGAGATGACTAGGGCAATAGACACGATTGCTCCGGAACGTCCCCTCTCAAGTAGCCGAGCTAAACCAGCCCCTTGGTTCACTGAGGAGCTGGCAGCGATGAAGTGAAGGAAGAGGAGACTAGAGCGCGTGTGGCGTTCGGACCCGAGCGAGTTAAATCGAACACGGTTTGTGGCCCTTCTAAGGGCATATGCCGTGGCAATAAAGGCAGCAAAGAAATCTTTCTTTGCGGCCAATATTGCGTCCGCAAAGAACCGTCCGGCTGAGCTGTTTCGAGTTGTCAGAGGTCTATTAAATCCCACCACTCCGGATGGGAACCCTGACAACTCGACGGCCCGTTGTGAAGCATTTGCTCGGTTCTTTGCGGACAAAGTCGCTTTGATCCGTTCTGACCTGGACACCATGTTAACGGCAGTCTCAGAGGATGTAACACGAGCATCTGCTTATCCGATTTTGTTGGATTCATTTCAATTGGTGAAACCTGAGGATGTGGACAAGATACTTGGAGGAATGAGGGCAACCACATGCATCCTAGACCCCTGCCCATCCTGGCTTCTAAAGGAGGCCAGAGGGGGATTGGCCGAGTGGGTGAAGGTGGTGGTTAATGCCTCCCTTCGGGAAGGCAAAATTCCAGCCAGCTTAAAACAAGCTGTGATAAAACCGCTGTTGAAAAAACCATCACTGGACCCCACTCAATTCGTCAACTATCGGCCTGTTTCCAATCTTCCCTTTTTGGGCAAAGTCCTGGAACGTGTGGTGGCCTCACAACTCCAGGCATTCTTGGTAGACACGGATTATCTGGATCCGGCACAGTCTGGCTTTAGGCCGGGGCATGGTACCGAGACAGCCTTGGTCGCCTTAGTGGATGATCTGCGCGGGAGCTCGACAGGGGGAGTGTGTCCCTGTTAGTTCTGCTGGACCTCTCAGCAGCCTTCGATACCGTCAACCACGGTATCCTTCTGAGATGCCTCGCGGGAATGGGCCTTGGTGGCACTGTTCTGCAGTGGCTCAGGTCCTTCCTAGAGGATCGTACTCAGAAGGTGTTGCTGGGGGACAACTGCTCTACCCCACAACCATTGACTTGTGGGGTCCCGCAGGGCTCAATATTGTCCCCCATGTTATTTAACATCTACATGAAGCCGTTGGGAGAGATCATCCGGAGTTTCGGGGTGCGGTGTTATCTGTACGCAGATGACGTCCAACTCTGTCACTCCTTCCCACCTACTACTAAGGAGGCTGTTCAGGTCCTGAACCGCTGCTTGGCCGCTGTGTCGGACTGGATGAGGGCTAACAAATTGAAACTGAATCCAGATAAGACAGAGGCACTCCTGGTCAGTCGAAAGGCCGAACAGGGTATAGGGTTACAGCCTGTGTTAGACGGGGTTACACTCCCCCTGAAGACGCAGGGTCGCAGCTTGGGTGTGATCCTGGACTCTTCGCTAAGCTTGGAACCCCAAGTTTTGGCGGTGTCCAGGGGAGCATTTGCACAACTCAAACTTGTGCGCCAGTTGCGCCCGTACCTTGGGAAGTCTGACTTGGCCACGGTAGTCCACGCTCTGGTTACATCCCGGATTGATTTGATTACTGCAACGCGCTCTACGTGGGGTTGCCCTTGAAGACTGCCCGGAAGCTTCAGATGGTCCAGCGCTCGGCGGCCAGGTTGCTAACGGGAGCGGCACTCAGGGAGCATACCACTCCTCTGCTGAACCAGCTCCACTGGCTGCCAATCCGCTACCGGGCACAATTTAAGGTGCTGGCTTTAGCCTATATTTATTTATTTATTTATTTATTTACAGTTCTTATATTCCGCCCTTCTCACCCCGCAGGGGACTCAGGGCGGATTACAGTAAACACATATATGGCAAACATTCAATGCCAGTTTGACAAACAACATTTAACAGACAAAGGCTATTTAACTTTTCTGGCCGCCAGGGGAGCTGCTGCTTTTCATCGTCCATCAACGACACCGATGAAGTTCTTCCGCATTCCACATTCCCCGGAGTCTTTTCTTTATGGCCTCATAAATTAGTTAAATTTAGCCTCCCACACAAGGTGGTACCTTATTTTCCTACTTGACAGATGCAACTGTCTTTCGGGTTGCAAAGGTCGACAACGGGCTACACAATGGCTGGACACCCACTCCAGCCCGGGCTGGCTTCGAACTCATGACCTTTTCGTCAGAGTGATCTTAATGCAGCTGACACTCAGCCAGCTGCGCCACAATCCCGGTGCTAAAGGCCTATAAAGCCCTAAACGGTTCTGGCCCTGCTTACCTCTCCGAACGCATCTCCACCTATGAACCGACTAGAACATTAAGATCGTCTGGGGAGGCCCTGCTCTCGATCCCGCCTGCGTCACAGGCGCGTTTGGCGGGGACGAGAGACAGGGCCTTCTCAGTGGTGGCCCCTCGGCTATGGAATGCCCTACCGGCAGACATCAGACAGGCACCTTCGCTGCTGACGTTTCGGAGAATGGTTAAGACCTGGCTTTATGAACAAGCGTTTGGTTAAGCAGTGCAACCAATCATAGGAA